GGTGAGGAACGTCGAGCACTTTCTGGGAATACTTTGAATCAAAAAGGTCAGAATGCATCTTTTTATACAAGTAAAAGCCATTCACACAGAAAAAAATGTATTTCAAATATTTCAACAGAAACATTCACCCAAAAAACAGAAATACGAGGGCAATGGATCCCTCCAGCCACTTAGAGTGGAATAAAAGAGAAAATGACATCAATTAGCAGCTATGAATACCTTGAGTGCCAGACCCTTGAATGAATTATAAAACAAAGGGATAATTTTATCACTTTCTCACCTTAGCCTGAATTCAAAAAGCTGCTGAATGAGTGTGTGTGTGTGTGTCCCATATCGTACGTGCACAAGACATGTCACCCCCTGGTGGACAGGCATGTTTTCACCATGAGCTGATGATGATCCAGTTAACAGAGGTGAGTTTGAGTTCATGCTGATGACAACGATGACTTTTCATGAAACATGAGGTAAATAACACATAGTATGGGATCAGAATTTGATCATATTCTTTCTGACCATCAATGCAAAGTACTGGCGTACAGGATGCAAGGGGGGACAGTATGATGGACAAAGGGCTTTGGGTGGTCTGTATCACCTCTGTCCTGTCTGCAGATATGCAGACCCTCTTTCAGCATGTAGACCCTCAATGAGCACGTAGATCCTCAATGTGTGTGTAGACCCTCAGTGTGCATGTAGACCATCAGTGTGCATGTAGACCCTCTTTCTGCATGTAGACCGTCAGTGTGCATGTAGACTGTCAGTGTCTGTGTGTAGACCCTAAATGTACATGTAGACCCTCATTGTGCGTGTAGACCATCAGTGTGTGTGTAGACCCTCATTGTGCGTGTAGACCGTCAGTGTGTATGTACTGTAGACCCTCCAGACCATGCAGAGCTTCTTGTGGCTGTTTGACTGAATGTTACAAAACTCATCCATTGCTCTAAACATATTTTGAAGCTGGAAATGTAAAATAAACATTCCCTGATGAATCTGGAGTCGTACCAGCATCATCATCCATCAATCAATCCATCCATCCATCCATCCATCCATCCACTTTGGCTTATGGAGGCAGAGTTAGCTCACAGCCTGCAGACTTTGCTGGTCCATGTACATTACTGAAGCCTCCAAAGCCAACATGTACTGCAGAGTAATTAAACCACACAGCATCTTTTTTATTCAATACACCGTGACATATAAGGAATAAGGAAAAATAAGGGAGCCTTTTCAGAGGATGAGAAAGGATTAAAAAAGATGAGCTTGGACATGTGCGTAAGCAAAATGGAATTCATGACTGTCATTAGGAGCTTGGCTGTATTTAAAGGATGGGAAAAAGCAGAATGCACCATATTTATTCATCCATTCAGTTATGCTGCAAAGTAGTAAAAATTGTACCACATGTTCTCTCTCTTGCTCTCTCTGTCACGCACGCGCGCTCACACAAACTCACGCACGCTCACACAAACTCACACGCGCACACACATACTCACACGCGCTGTCACACACACACACACGTGCGCACACACACACTCACGCGCTCACACAAACTCACGCGGGCACACACACACACACGTACACTTCTCCTGAGAGGGAACTTGTGGATTTTAGCAGCGTCTTTATCTATTATGACAGCAGATGAAGACGAAGAACAAATTAAAATCAGCTAACTGTAAAAGGACAAGCGCACCGAGGAATGGTACAAAAAATCTACAAAAATAAACCTCCACCGCGTGCGTTTTCCTCCACACACTGTGAATACACTGATTTGAAAACTGATTCACGGCAAAGTTATTTAATATACTCCCACTATAAGGGTAAAAAGAGTAAAAACAATTGTAAATATAAAACTGTAAACATGCAAGATGTCTGCAGAGACAGTATGAGGGGGAACGCAGTCAGCTGCTTCTTTTTACTTTCAGCAAATGCCATCGAGGACGGAGTGATGTGGGCATCCTTGCTGCACGGCGCGGGAACAGACACGCTGCAGGAATGCGGCACCTGGCTCCGGTGTGCTCTCAGTGCGTTCTCAGTGCGTTCTCAGCACGTTCTCAGTGCGTTCTCAGTGCGTTCTCAGCGCGTTCTCAGCACGTTCTCAGCGTAGGCTACTCTCATGTCTCTCAGGAGCCCGGCACGGGCGGGCCAAACAAACGCCGGTGATGCAGATTCATACGCAAATAAATTTCATGACAACTGAGTATTATAAAAAAATATATAGACAAAATAGAAAAAAACACAGGTCGGGCTCCAAATGAGCAGCTTGAGGTGTGTGAAGATTATTGCCCTCTCTGGGCTCCCAAAGCATCTCTCATTCTTCATGAATATGGAAAGAAGACCAGTCTTTCACAATTATTTTTTATCATCAATATATTTTTGCTCCCATAAAAAAAAACACACAATTAGTGTTTCTGAGTTATAGATACACTGTGGCTTGTTCTGATTTATAACTGAAAGGAAAAAAATATCCCTGAGCATCCCTGAAAGTATGTTGTTCACAGCCCAAACACACACTGTTCCTAACACACATTCATACATAGGACTGACACACACACACATGCACGCACATGCCGGGTAAACATACCTTTATGGGGACCGCTCATACACACACACACACACATACACACATATGCAAATACATATATATCAAACCTGCATTCACACACACAAACATGTCTAAATCTGCACACACACACACACACACACACACACATGCAAATACATATATATCAAACCTGCATTCACACACACAAACATGTCTAAATCTGCACACACACACACACACACACACACACATACAAATACATATATACTGTATCAAACCTCCATTCACACACACACACACACACACACATAGAACAGGAGCCTGTGGCGTTCAGCAGGTCTTTCTTCCGTACGGCAGCAGAGACGTCCGAGAGTCGCGGCATGACAGCCAACAAATTAAATGCAACTAACTGTTAAACATGAGCGAGCTCCCCCGAGCCAAACACAAGGCCATTCATTTGCAAAGAGATACTTGTCAGTTGTCATCTCTGATCTCTCTGGGGCTGCTTCATTATGGAGACCCGCCCGCAGCCCCGCAGGCTGCCGTTTCCCTCAGAGGCGGGGCCGCACGCCGGATGTTGTCAAAACCGAAACTCCTCTGCTTCTCCATTTATCGCCCGTGACCCCGGCTTCAGCTCTGAAGCAGCTAGCGCTTGGGTGAACCGTTCTCTCCAAGTCAGAGAGGAAAACAGCACGACGAAGCTTGTCAACGCAACTGTCCGAGGGCATAGGGAAAAAAAAAGATTTTCTCCTCACCAGGAAAAACGTTTACTTGGACAACGGTCGTCAGAACTGTCCATGCTCCGTGAGCACTCATGTCGTCAACGTGACATGTTCCTGTGGCATGCACGGTCACTTTTACACAGCTGTCAGCCCTTTGACTACAGCATTATCATTCAGGAAGTAGGGCACATTTCCCAGCAGGCTTTGTGAAGCACACCGTAAAATCATGCCCACATTTTATTCCACTGTTCGGGCCGGCCCCACGGAATTAACGCCATGAATTTAAGCAGGATGTCTTTCTGGTGTTAAAAATGATTCAGGAAATATTTTGCCCCTTTGAGGGTCACAAGCTGTCTTTTATAGCAAATGAAGATATTTGGGGGAAAAAAAATGCATGTTCAGTTTTAAGGATTTGGTTGAAACCTTAAATATTACCCTCAGGTTTCAGATGAATATCAAGTCAAGGATTTACTCCATGTTGCCTTTGATGAAATTTTTGAACTTTGAAATTTTGTATTTTGCAAAGGATTTTGACCTTAGTATTCCAGTATGGTTTTTTTTTCTGCTTTCCAACGGGAACAAGATTTTTTTGAAATATTTTTTAAATCCAAAGTCGGCGTATTCTGAAAATCTTTCGGATGACTGGCCAGAACTGAGGTCGTTCAGCTTCCCAGAAGAAGATGAAGTGTAGCACCATCTACAACTGAATGCTGAGGAAAAAAAAATCTAAGGGTCAAAAGAAGAATAACAGGGGCGACACTTTCCCAGACACACGTCCAGCCCAGACGCGGCGCGCGGTTCACAAAACGGGCACCACGACTCTGGCAGGAGGTCCCCACAGAGGAGGGCATCATCCCCTGAAACCTGCTACCTTTGTTTAAACGTATGATGCAATCCTAGGCTATTCATGCCCCGCCGCTGCTACCAAAGTGTGTTCATAGGGCAGCCGTGGGATCCCCTGCCCCAAATTTGCTGCTCCCTGTGAACCGAGGCTCTACCCTCCTCTCACCCCTGGCAGGAACAGGGGAGGAAGCTCCATGTAGATGGTGCAGCCGTGCTGAATGGAAGCAACAAGCGGCACGCTGTTCCTGGCTGTTCGGCTCGCACTCTCGCGGACGTGCGGAGGAACGCGACATATCAGCATTCGAGACCGTCCCCTGAGGTCCTGGGGGAGACAAGACCACCAGGGTTTGGACGTAAGGCAGTTCATGAATAATAAAGAGGAGATTTCTACCAGAGCTTTTATGTCCTTGTCAACACAAAAGGCTGCAGATGAATGGTGACGTGGAGCTTTACGACACCTGGAAAGCTGTGCCGGGTGATATAAATTATCAGGGTGGACAAGACCCCAGAGGACATGACGGAAAACGCAGGGGAAGAACTGAGGCTGAGGCAGGCAGTCACTGTAACATGAGGCATTAATACTCTCTGGTTTGTCTGACAAACCAAAAACACTCTTTAACCCTGGGCAGAACAGGCACTGGAAGCCAATTCCCCAAGTCCGTCCTGTGATGATGTGTCACAGAAACAGGGGAGGAACGATGTTCTTTCACAGCGAATGAAAAACTGCCGTGGACACTGTCATTGCGTCACTTCCTGAATCTCATAGGAAGTTGCTCGGAAGTGGCCAAGACAGGAAATGAAAGACCTCAGCCTCTCCGAGTTGGTCGAAGTGGTTCAGATAGCTC